CAGTCTGTATGAAGCCATTAAGGTCACATCAGAGGTTATTTTTAAGTAATTAAAGTCTTCAATTTCTTTTAAGAGGGACTGTTTCTGATCATCGTCTTGTAGCTTATTAACACAGGTAATTATATCAGGTTTTTAAAATTCTGCTATCAAATCCTGACCTTGGATTTTAACCTTAAGATTTTGTACTGAAAATTGTTTGCCTCATTTAAGAACATGATCTTATTAGCTTGTCTCGATCATTCACTTCCCAAAGAAGGATGACATGACCACCAGTTGAGTTTACCTTGATCTTATTTATGGTTGACCTCTTTGTATAAAATTATAATCATTTATCTCTAGTATATGGATTAAACTACTGTGATGTGCACAATTGTAAATCAAAATGAGAAACACATGTATATTCAATGCAACAAACAGTTTTGGCCAATATTTACAATGTTACCATAATTGCTGAGGGATGTGTACTCTTTGGCCCTGAAATTTACTTGCCTATCTTTTAATGCTTTTTTCTTAGTCACCACTGTCATGATGTAAAGATTTATCATTCAATTAAATTTTCTTCTTTGATAGTGATACTGTGTTGTTTTTTTTTAAATGTTATGTTATATTATTTTACAGATTTCAAAGTTAAAGAGGAAATGGTTCTAATGATAGAGGCTTTGTCCATGTTGGTTTGTCTCAATCGTTTGGAAAACAGTGTTGGAGAAAATATCAGCAACATATGAAAACTCTGATTTTGTTAATTACAATGTGACTTGAAAGTTATATCTGATTTCATGGTAGTATTTACACATGTGTTGAACCTTCCGAACATCATTGAAAAAGATTATATGATGACAATAAACAAAAATACATATATGAACTTTCCACAAGTTTCCAATGAAGAACATTTTGGGATCTTGGTAAAGGATATTGTAATTAATTTTTTTACCTGATTTATATGTGTTCAGTCTTTTGAAGCCAGTGCTTAGAACACAGGTCCCAGATATCCTCATACTGCAGTTATATTGTTAAGATTGAAGTTTATTTTTAAAATTATACCTTAATTATATCTGTAAAGAAACTTTAAAAAAAAATTAGTCAAACTTGTATATATGCTGGTTAACATGTTAAAAGAAATATAATATTCTGGAAGTGATAAACAATTATAAGAAGTTCATTTATCATCCTTTTGTTTTGTTCTTCTTTGCGACTTTGTTTTTACAATATTCAAAGACATTTTAATATCTTAAGTCATCTTAGCAAAAGGCTCTATGGAGCTTTTCTATCAAAGGGTCTCTGGTGTTTGTTAACTCTGTTCATCTTTCGTCAATGAAAATTAAACCCTAAAGCAGGGAATCAAAGTCTTGCATGGGAATGTGTAGTAAAAAATGGTGTTTTAACGAGCAAAATCTGAAGAACACAAATATGACTCAAGTAAACATTGTGGACCAAGTGTCATTTAAATTGCACACTTTCATTACCCTACAGATTTTTAATCTCTTATTTAGCATATTTTTTAAAGGAGAAAATTAATTGTCTAACATTATTTTCCCTGTTTTGTTTACACCATAGAGTAATCCTTTAGATAAATTTGGGCTTTCATATAAAGTGTTATTTATAGAACAACAGTGAGTCTCTTTAATTCTATTTTTAACACATTGCCATGTGGTTGGCACTACTTTCATGGCTAACATTTTCCTGTTGAACTGACAAGTATGCATTTAAAGAATTGTACCTGTTGCAGTCAGTTTTCATGTAAACGAATGGTTCTTCACAAATAGTTGTGCCACTTTGTTTATTAAACTATTTCATATTTATTTGGATTTTTTAATGCACTGCTAAAACCTGTGGCTGCGCAGTCCTGCAGGTGTATTGTGCACTTCATAGCTGCAAGCTGTAGCTCCATATACCCAAAGATGGTTTTCATTATAAAGCTGAAATGGACCAGTTTTCAAGTGTTGGTAAGTCTTATTTTTAAAGATATTAAGGTTTTTATTTTCAGTGAGTCTCACTTGGTTGCACACAATAGCAAACCCTTAAGCCTGTTAAGCCTCATTTAACACTCATTTTTTTTGTAGGTAAAACGATCAAAAGAACCGAATTATTCCGTTTGCTAGATCATGGAAAACAGTACATGGCAGATCTTAACTGTTAATGGGGAAGCTTTTTTTCTCCACGGTTCCTGAACCAATTTTTAAATGAAGATATCCAAGTTTTAGCATAGTTAGTATGGATTAGATGATCTTTGGAACATGATTACAGCACTAGTGTACTTTTCAATAACTCATTGCTAAAAAATATTTGATTTGATTGGTCTAACGTTTTAATATTTGCCATGATCGGTATCAGTAAGAACAACAGCAAGTAAAAGTGATTTTAACTGTTTAACAGTTTAATGTTTAAGTTCAGAGTATTGCATATTAAGGTAAGTCACTCCTGAAATTTTATATCAAGGATTTTTTGAGAAGTATATTTTGGATAAGTACTCATAAAGTGTAACTCAAAATCGCAAAGAAAATAGGGGGTCAGTGTGCATCCTACTGATCTACGGTACATTTAAGTTGACCTTTTTGCACTTAAATTTCATCTCTTTGGTTAATTACTTTAACCCTTATTATATTTGATTAGATGTAAGCATGGCAATAAATTTAATCTAATTTTTCGTAAAATAGTTTGAATATCTATCATTCAAACAAATCTTGCAAATTAATGCGCAAAATTTATTGTGTGACCTTTTTGCACTAAAAAATAACATATTTGGGGTATTAAAAACTTAATAGGCAATAAAAAATTTTCTTATATCAAACTTTTTACGACTTGAGTGCTGATCAGTCACAAGTATCGAGTAGTTTAAAATAATGACGAAAAAGGTGGGGTCAGTGATGTTAATTTTGAAATATTTGTCAAAATATGTGATTTTCGGGCAAAAAATGGTGTAAATTTGAACTTGACTTCTTTAATATATTTTCATTTTTTGGAAAAATTTGTTGAGGGAAGGTGTAAAACTTAGTCTAAAAATATAAATTAAGACCTATATTAGATATTTTTAGCAATATCAAAACGGAAAATATTCTCCGAGTAAAAGTATGTGAGTCTAAATTTCCATAACATTAAATTTTATAAATGTGCAGATTTGCAGAATTTTCTGCTAAATATCCTTCCACCAAAAGAAATAATCCCTCATAAATCTTGCTTCTCTGTAGATTTTTGAGCAGTTTTTTCATTGAATGTTAAAAAATTTACATTGTTGAATTTAAATATGTTATAAAAATTGAATTTTAAAAAGTAGTTTTGAAGTAAAAGCTTCTGCGTGAACTTTTCTAAAAAGCTGACGAGTGACTTACCTTAAGGAATATTTGTCTAAACTTTAAGAATAAAACTTTTTACACCGATATTGTTACGATATGGTGTATTCATACTAGTATTAGATATTTGGTTAACTTATGTAAATCATCAATTAACAATCTTATATTCATCGTAATACTACTTTGATCTACCATATCTAGATGTACCAACTATAGTTGCCTATAATAAACTATAGTTTGACTATGGTATTTTTGTGGGGTAGGAAAATATACTTTTAATGTCTAAAAACAACTAAGAATTTAATTACATTTAATAACTGTCAAAACAGAGGGTTTTACAAAACATATATTTTAAACATTTAACAAATTTAAATGACACCATACTTTTTTAATTCATAGATATCCTCTTACATACTTATTGTTTTTTTTTACATGGAAACATTAATGAAAATTCTACTTATTTCGATTTCATTGGCAGACTTTTTCCCCATAAAATATAGTTAACAGTTCATCACTAGGGTACATAGTTTTGCTCACAACTACATGTAAATGTAGAAAAACATTTACCCTTGCACACGTATGGAAAAATATATCTACAGATAGGGTGTTTTAATATCTGCAAATACCACATAGTTTACAATGATTGTATACTCTTTTATCTGTAAAGTAGCACGTTGAAACTAATAGAAGTCATTTTAATCTACCAAAGTACAAGAACCTAAATCTCATGATCACAAAACAAGCAGATATGGTATCAGTGTACTCAGATCTATCCAAAAGCCATGTTAGATTTATAGGTGAGACTAAATATTATGGATTTTTTTATTGTCATTAAGGTACGATTGGTGCTTAAAGTGAATTACTCGCTCACTGTTTTACGTGATTTGGTATTTCAGTATTTAGATAAAACGACTACTTTTTATCGCTTAAGAACCCTCTCTACACTGCACACTAAAGAGTTCTGATTCTCATGGTGTTTTTCTGCAGTTAGAGTGATCTGCCCTTAGATCTAAATTCAAAAAAAAAATAGAAATTTACAATATATTACTCAATTTGTAATACATTAAAGTAATATTAACATTTTATAAGGCCAAGTTAAATTATCTGAACATGTTATTTACATGTATTTTCTTTACTGAAGTTATTAATAGTGACTTCTATTCACCGAGACTTTGTCGTCTTTGAACATTTTCCCGGGGGTAAATGCCACTCACCATTCAGTGAAAATTAAATAAATAATCTCGATATTAACTCCTTTATACAATATATTTTTCTCAATGTCCGAAAAAAATTCACTTGTGTAGAGAGGGTCCTTAACAATATTTGCATGCATATAATTGTCGACACCAATTGTATCCTTGTAAATTCGAAAGGAAAAAAAATAGAATTTCCAGTTTTTTTTATATTTGATATGTTACTGACTATAGACGATCATATTTCGACAAACTAAAAAAATAATCCACAAACTGGATCCATTTATGATCATCTCTTCCGTATGTTCTGTAAATAAATGAAATCTCAATGTTATTGAAAAATGGGTTGAATTCCCTTAAAGTTACACTGTTTTATAGTTTAAATAGTTTACGTTCCCCAAAAATATTACAACCAGGCCAGTCAAAATCAATGTCAATGTACTTTATTAATATTTGACATTTAAACAACTTTCCTGTCCTTCTTTTAAATTTCAGTAAACCTGAGCATGTGGCATTGGTGATGGATCCCCGATATAGTGCTCAAGACATCCTCCGATGCGACCTTTGTGAGGAAGATGTGGTGCAAAATCATTGCGAGGTTTGTTTCATCAACCTCTGCGAAGCCTGTAAAGGGAAGCATCTTTCAAGCAAAAGACACAAGGTCGTGCCATACTCAGAAAGAAAAACACCCAACAATCCAAAATGTCAAAAACATTCTAAGAATTGTCAATTATTCTGTGATAAATGTGACATGCCTGTCTGTTCTACATGCATCTCCTCGGGTAAACATAAAGAACATTGTTTGTTAAATGTTTTTCAAAAGCTTAGCTCTAAAACGAAAGATATCAAAAAAGACCTGAGAGAACTTGAATTTAGAATTTACCCAAAATATGAAGAGATCGCTGCAGACATCGAAAATAAAAAGGACAAGTTGGAAAATCTCTATCAAAAATTAAAAACAGCTGTCAACAAACAAGGAGAAAACTGGCACAGAGAAATTAACTTAATTGTCAACAAACAAAATTCCGAAATTGATGACATGAAAACTAAGCACATTTCTGTTTTAGATAAACAGGAAAATATCATAACACAACTTACCTCCAAGATAAAACATCGTATTTTTGATCTTCAGAAAATTCTTGAATCCAACGATCTTTCCCTAGCACACAAATCCAGAAACGATGAGTTCAGGCGTTTACCTCCAGATGTTAATGTTTCTTTACCAGTATTTTCCCCTCAGAAGATTAACACAAAACGGCTTCGTCAACTCTTTGGTTCTTTATCAGAATTATCAATGACAACAAAACATGGTAACGCAATGGAGACGCCAGAAACTGTTTCCAACACTCAAGTCAGACGGCTGCTTGATGAACCAGAGCTCATTACCACTATAAATGCTACAAATAAAATATACAATATTGCCTGTCTCAGTGATGAAGAGATCTGGACCCGTGGGAATAACAATATTTTAAAACTTTACAATCTACAGGGCAAACTAGTAAAGTCCGTTCAGACCATATCATTGAACAATCCAGATGACATCACAGTGACGAAGAGTGAGGATCTAATTTATACTGACTATAAAGGAAGGTCGATTAATAAAGTAAGAAAGGGATACATCGTGGAATGGATTACACTACATGGATGGAAACCTAGCAATGTGTGTGGTACTTTAACTGATGACCTCCTGGTAATCATGGACAGTGATGATGGAGAGCAATCCAAACTTGTTCGTTACACTGGCCAAAGTGAACAAGAAACCTTTAAGTTTGATAATACAGGTAAACCTCTGTATTCATCTGGTTACTTTACAAAATACATCAGTGAGAACAGAAACCTAGATATTTGTGTGGCCGACATTTTAGCCAGAGCAGTAGTGGTGGTCAATCAAATTGGAAATTTGCGATTTAGGCACACTGGTCATTCCCCAACTGCCAAAAGATATTTTGAACCAGTCGGTGTCACAACAGACAGTCAGAGTCAAATCCTCACATCAGATCGTTTTAACAGCTGTATCCACATCCTTGACCGAGATGGACAGTTCCTAAGTTACATTGAAAATTGTGAACTATATCATCCATGGGGTTTATGTGTGAATACTAAAGACCATCTCTTTGTAGCTGAGTCTGATAGCGAAAGAGTGAAACAAATAAAATACATGTAATTACTGAATCTTTTTATTTGTTTGTATTATGATAAAAACAACGGAAATATTATTGTGAAGTTTTAGATAGTAAAAAGAAGATAGTATATGGAAATATTTAATGATGCATAAGACAGGGTATAATCCAAATTGCTTATTGTCTTTTTTTTTTAATTTTGTACAGCAATGAATACATAAGCATATAATCAATAAAAAGCATTGTAACGTACTCAAATGATGATTTCAGCAAGATTTTCTTTACAATAGTTACATATATCATTTTAATAATTTAAAGAATAATCTGTGCAAGATAATTTTTTTGAATATGAAAAAAAATCTTGATGAGGTCAGATTTTTTAAAAAGAAAGGCAGAGCATTACTTTAAAACTTTTAAATTTTAAAAGCAAAAAATGAGCAATTAAGGATATAGTGTTACAACAGCACAATGTTCATGTTGTATTATCACCTATATTTGTGCAGGGAATAAATTGAAGCAATGGTTGGCTTCAACAATGTAAATAATGCATAATCAAACGTATTTCTCACAATGTTGGAACTTGAAAAATTGGACAACATTACAAATATAATGTCTCTCACTCATTAAATGTTTTTACTGAATTTTTGATCTTGATAATTCGGATTTCTGTAGATTTTTATAAATTCATTGTTCTGTCTCGGAAGGGAAGACTCTGTTGAAGAATTAAAAAGAGCATAAATGAAGTTTCGTAAGATATTTGTTTAATCAATTATTTAGAACACAAAATTATTATATTTTATTAATAATATATATAGTATAACAAGTATTAGTTTTCCTAAAAAGCTTGTCTGACGTGGTTTGCTTAAATTCATAAAGCGGAAAGAAATAATATATATGTTATATATTTTCTTTCTTTCGATAATATATCTTTCAAAGACCACGCGTAAACAATATTATTTACAAAGTACATTAAATTTAAGCTCCCGGCTCCAGGAAGACTTAAGTCAAATTTTAATCGCTGATGAAATATTTATTAATTATGGAATTATTTTTTTTAATTTGCACATAGGCTCTAGGGTGGATGTTAGTTCATTTGTGCTGCCTCTGGGGTTATTCTACCTCAACATCGCACTTCCTGGATCCCCAACAGGTCGTGGACAGAAAAGTCCTCTTGCTTTTCACCTAAAACAAGATTCCTGAACTCTACTGCAGTTTCATTTTGACGAACATGCTCCTCGGTCTCTTTGTGGATCAAAGAATAACCGATAACAAAGTCATTGTGCATTTCTGTCCATTTGAGAAATCAGAAAAACTGTATTTCATGAACCAAGTGATGAACAGTTCATTTGGAATGCCAGAATTAGTCTTTCCATACCTCTTCTGAAGCAATCATCGCATGAGGAACTCTGTTCCCCGCCACAGGGCTGGGAAATTGATGACGCCTTTGACCTCATGCTGAGCTGTGGTGAAGAAAGAATCAGAGATTACACCATCAAATTCATGGCGTCCGCTTATGTAAAGAAAACCAGACTGTATGACCCAGCTTGCTCAACTGGAGTTTTCCTGTCCACACTCAAAAAGGTATTTCCCGACAGTTACACAATCGGTCAAGATCTGAACAGACTGATGACAGAAATTTACCGCCAAAGGGTTGATGAGGTGCATTGTGGGAATGCTATGGAACGAAAAATAGAACCTGGAACGGCTTACTACTGTTTTGTTCGTTTTCAAAACTCGGAAGTCTTGAAGTCAACAGAGGCAGAGGATCTGTTGTCGGCGCTCCTCCCAACCGTGAAAAAGGGTGGGTAAATGATAATTTTTGGACACACTCCAGTGCTTCTTTCCTCAGCTAACTATAGAACTGTCCCGGGATATAAGGTAGTGCAGTGTATAGCCACAGCTGTTGACAGAACTGGAATATTTCAATATTATGTTTTACAACGTTTGTCAATGTAAAATTAATAAATATTATTGGAAATCTGAAAGGAATTAAAATTAAAATTTGGAAATTGTCTTCGGTTTTATTAGATTCATACCATGTGAATTCTTCGAGAAAAGTGACGAAAACCCCCAATGAAAATGCTAGAAAATGTCTGTGCTTTAAAAAGACTTCAATAGTTGATCAATGCATTTGTTGAAATCGGAAAACTGATACAAAGTTTAAGGTTGTATGGAAAGTACGTCGATTTCTTTTACCATTAATATCTTTACGTAATAGTCAAATCATCTTTTGGACGACCATTTAACTCCAAATCATTGTTTTGATGATGATGATGATGATGATGGTGATAGCCTGGTATCTTCTAGAAGTGCAATAAGGTTTCTATAACCTGTAAGCCAAATAAATGTCGATGAATGATGTTTATACCATGGACGTCTACTTCAATAAACGATCTAGCCAAATCAAATGAAGGTATTTGGTGACGTACTGTAGGTGTGCAAAAATGTTAGAATTTTCATTCTTACCCTGGGGGTCAAATGGGGTAGAAGAAAAAGATGATTATTTTTCCAAAGAGACATAATGCTTGGTCTCAGAACCCTTCTTATATTTTACACAGCATCCATATTACTTTTGGAAGATGATTATTGGTGTCAAGTTGATTTGCAATAAGGTTTTAACATTTCAAAAATTGAAGCGAAAGAGGGGCCCACAAATAACTTTTTTTTAAACATAAAGAAGAAACCCTGCTTCGCAGACTCCTCTATCATTTTGCGCAATAGCCTTGCAAAATCATCTTGATGGTGCTTATAACGAGCACGCTTATAATGAATTGACGCCTACAGCTAAATGGCTTTCATTCCCAATTACTTCATATATACAAGATCTTAACTTGACGGTTATAGCCAATTACGTTTATATATACATTTACCGAAGCAAACTCCTTAGCCATGGCAATTTTTAAAAGGGCGTTTTATTGTTTACCGTTAGGGTTTGAAAATATTAAAACATTGAAAGGTTTAAAACTTTTATGCATAGTGTATGCTTAGTTAAGCCTAATCTGTAAAAAAGAAGTTATCAGTTATCAATTTAAAACCTTTATCGCGATAAGGACTTTTCAGGATTTGATAACCTGAAGAACCCATATTTACATCCGGATATATGTTTTAAAATAATACTTTTTTTCTTAAGGACGCTCGATCCTGAGCTTTTGAGTAGATTCCGGTCTGGACCTTTCTTTCTAATTAATAGGTCATAATCTGTAATTCTCCATATTATCATCATCATCATCATAAACATTCTCACCTTAACAGTGACACGACCTTTCTTTAAATGAGAGTATGCATACACTGTCGCCAGCTATCTTATGTACATAAAATTTTTATATGATTTTTCTGCCGGTGAAAATATGTTACTTGTTAATGGTAGAAAACATAGCCAAATTAAGTGACAGACGATAAAAACATATTTTTTTTTCTATTGAGGAGACTTAGCATCTCACAGGCTTAAAAAAGTTTATTATTCTTTAAATATTTTCTACATATTTTATTAAAGTATTATATAATAGTTTCCTAGTCTATTTCATTTTTAAAGACTAAGGAGAAAACAAGTTATGCAAGGAATTACATGTTTCCACTTTTCTAAGCCTCTGAGATGATATTAAGTCTACTCTAAAACATAAGAAAAGTTTGTACCATCTATCTTTATCTATAATTCCAGTTCTTGAAAAAAAGGGGGGGGGATACGGTATTTTCCAATGAAAGCGGACTTTCAAGCATCAACATATTTTGAAATAGTCTTGATTATGATAAAATTTTTCTTAGATCTTTTCTTATGTTTTAGACAAATAAATAAAACATAAATATATTTTAAAAAATATAATGTTTCAGTTGTTAATCGCTTTAAATTGATGTAAAAGAAGCATTTTTTTCTTCTTTTTTGTCAATAAACATATCCCCCCCTTGACACACAAAAAGTTTTGTTATGAATTTGTGATATTACAGTCCATATTATCTGTAAAAAGGAATTTTTGTGTCATGGGGGAGGGGGGTAGTTTTAAAAATATTTTCCGTTTTCTGTTGATTTCTATAGTGAAAAACACAAGTTTCACCAATATTTTGGAGTTATCTCCCCTTGTTTCTCCAAATAAGTAATGTTTTATGAAAATCCATATAATTATCTATAAAAATTATATATATATATTATAAAAATCATCGAATATATTAACTTTTGAAAATTGACTTGGATATACGCGGTAGAACAATGCTACCGTTCGCATTTCTTCATAACATTGTTTCCTATTACATTAAGGTAGGACAAAATAGATAGGTCAAATTTTTCCTCAAATTCAATTTTTCTGAAACTTTGATATTTTGTTCTTGGATATAAAATCTCTTTTTATATATGATATGAAAGAAATTCAACTGCACATTTTTTGCCCACATAGTCTGAAATATGGCCTATCAGACCCCTGTAAGAAGATTGTGAAATCAGACATTCGACTTGAGAATGAGCCTTATTTTAGAATTTCCTATTGATATATTGCAAATTTGTGTGATACTTTTCATAAAGATAACCTTTTTGTTACTTTAAATCAGTAAGTCACATTGATACTGAAAAATATGGGCAAAATAGTAAAATAGAACATAAATTGCGTCAGAAACTGAAAATTCACATGTAAATATTCGACAGTTTAAGCTTTCTTAAGAGAAAATGTATAATTTAATTTTTACAAAAAAATTAACAGAATGATCCAAATGGGTCCTAAAATAAAATGTGTAAAAATAAAGAAAATTGAACCAATGGTTTCAGATATTTTGGCGATTAAAAAAAATTCAATGACAAAAAACTTAATGATTCAGTAGATGACGTCACAATATTTGACCATTGACCTCTTGATATGACCTTGACCTTTGTAGTACATAACGATAAGAGACTCCTTATATATGTGTCCAAATATCACCCCTCTATTATTTATGGAACAAACGTTGCACTGCATTTTATAACAGACTGTTACATGCTTGTTTATTGCACTTATATAGCGTAAACACATTCCAAAATGTAAGCTCCCAAGTGACCAATATATATGATTCTCTGATTTTTTCCACAAAATATAACACAAATATGCCAAAACTTATTATTTTTCTTTCAGGGATCATACATTGTTGTCAATATAGTAATATTATTCTTTTTTCCTCAAGCACTTTTTAAGAAATGGGTTAAAATAGAATCCACGGGTGTTTTGTACTACCTTAATGCAATATAATATACCAATTTTGATTGATAAGGTAACATTGCTCTCGATCGGTAAAATATATTTTGGATAAATGCATGTTAATTCAGATAAATCATGACAATAAATTTTTATTTAAAAATTTAAATTTTAAATAATGCTAGGACAGCGCTACTCAGATCAGATCCACCCCCCTCCCATACAAAAATATTGAATGTTACATTAGCATAAATTTCATAAATATGTAAGACAATGAACGTGAACACAACGTCGATATATCTTATTTTATCCTTTGAATTATATGAATATTTAATTCAGTAAACATGTTTTCCAACAGATCAAGAATGGATATTTAAATCACGTGACCAGAAACCTAGGCAAGGCAGGTAAGTTATATTAGTTTATTTTTAAAGGAGCCATTTTGTATCTACAGGTAAGACAAACTATAATAATGTTTTAACATTGTGATAATAATATTTGCTTTAATTATAATGTGGTAGAAATTGGTTAGTCTGGGAATAAAAAAGAATATTGATAAAACCCTTGCAGACTTCTTTTAAAAGACTACGGAACATTAAATTAGAATGTATTCATCTCTGGAAAATGGCAGGTATTGCAAACATGTTATGTTAAACGTAAAAGTTGAAAATAACTAAGTTAAAATATTGTACATTCTATGTTGAAGTTGAGCATATGTAAATTTTTAAAGAAAATAATCTAGTTAAAGGGCTTTCACTCCTTGATCCGTAGGCCCGAGTGCCATTTTCACTGGGTTGTGTCAAACCTACGACACAAAAAATGGGAAATGCATTCCTTTATTAAGGACAGATGATACACACATTTTTTTTTCTTTGGAAGAAACTTAATATTATGTCACAAGTTTAGAAAAGTGGATAATTCTTGGAATTTTTTCTCCAAGAACTGGAAAATGAAATAGACTTGAAAAATATTAGTAATCTTTCAATAAAAAAAATATACACTCAGTAAAGGTTTACAGATGAAAATTAATTTCAGAATATGTTACCTTAGTGTTATAAGGGGAATATAAACTTAAAAAAACATATACAAAGCCAGGTGAATTTTATGAGGCAAAAAACAAAATGACAAAAAATCAGCAATATAACATTGAGTTTTACCATTTTGCTTTTCCTAATAAAACTCACCTGGCTTTGTATATTTTTCTAAAGCTTATATTACACTTTTAGCACCAAGGTAACATATTCTAAAATTTGTTTTCACCTGTAAACCTTTACTTAGTGTTAGTTGTCTATATGTATTTTTTTTAAATATTAATAATATTTTCCAAGTCTATTTCAGTTAACTGTTCATCTGTAAACCTGTACTCATAGTGCATATTTGTAATTATATTGAAATATAACTAATATTTTCCAAGTCTTTTCCAAGTCTATTTCATTTTCCTTTTCTTAGGCAAAACAAAATCTACGACCTATCCACTTTTCTAAACTTGTGACATTATATTTAGTCTCTTCTAAAGAAAAAAAAATCATTTGTATCATCTGTCCTTAGACAGCTGGCGTTAAAAGTAAAATTCATGTGATTTTTTGATGAGACGATAAAACCATCTTCCTTTGCAAGGGTAGGCAGGTTTGGCATGCTTGAGTTCCCTCACTGCACAAT